CACACTGAACAGTGGGATTTAAATATCACTCTTACAATGCAAACATGGTTCCAAAGTGTGGAATTTGTTTCCTTTTTTTTTGGAAGTAATAGGACGCAAACCATGAAAACTCAGATCCATAGTCCAAGGTGTTAAAAACTTGGGTGCACTTGGCCTGTTAAGGAAAGAGACATGCTTTAATATTTTCAAAAAGCCTCATAATCAGTAGTTAGCAGGGTGAAGTCAGTAGTGCATGGCAGCCAGGCAAGATGGAAATGTTTGCTGTGAACAGTTGCGTGAGATGGGGCAACATCCTGCATCAATAGGACATTCTGATGCTGAATGTCACTGTGTACACTGCAAAGCCTAGAATATTTGTTTCTCAAAAATGAATGACCTCACATAATGAAGTGATCTGTCGAAGAATTATTGTCTTATTGATTTCTATTTTGTTAAAGTAAGCTTAAAGTACAGTAAGACCAATAACTATCAAAAAATATTTAACCTTTCGAATATGAATTTAAAAGTAGCATGTTACAGGATAACATTACGTGAGGAATCAGTGTTCATGTCATGAAGTTAAATTTAAAAAACTTAAACTCCTTAAAGAATTAAGCAACAACTGGAGATAATGGCAGTAAAAAGTTCATTGGAGTGAAAGGAACAATATTATGAAATTGATTTGATCCAATAACTATACATAATATATTAGCTAGTAAACTTAAAGTAATCAAGGTTATACAATTTTTCTAATTAAGAAACAACTCATCAAATAATATAACAAATGTGTAAACTTAACTCTGGTAGTTCTAGTACATTAGCATAAAAAGAGCTTTAAAATTGGATAGTTAATAACAGTACTGCATTAAAAGCTACTAACTGACAACACTGAATAGATATATACAGATAAAAATATTGCTTTAACAGCAGAGAAATGTTTAAACCAAACCACTTATATTTATTACTGAAAAACACCGATGTTAACAAGACATTGTCTAAAAAAACAAACCCACATCAGGAAAAATCTAAAATATTTTCTACATATATCATAGTTTCCAGAAACTTAGATAAGTTAACAAAAATGACAAGAAAACATATGAAATCAATGAAAGACTATTAAACATATCATTGCTATGGTTTTGTACATTATTCTTACCTTTCCCTGGTACCTGTCATCAAAAGCATGCTTAGCAAAAAGATTACGAAGAACACGAATAGCAATCAATCGAATTTCCCTGACTTCACTCAAGGCAGCCCTAACCTCTTGTAGCAGTGTGCCCACTAGAAAATGATGGTGGCAAAATTCTTCTGAAAGCCGATACTCTTGTTCATAATCTGTAGATAGGAGGTAAGTATTGGATGATAAACATATGACACTCTGTAAATGTAGTAAAAGGTTTAGTAACAAACATAAAACTTGCATGCTGTTAAAAAGAAAAAGAGGTATGCATCATCATCAATTTTATATTATTTTCCAATCAATTATTCATCAACAATTTAAATCTACTAGATATACTGATTTTTTTATCAATACATTAATAATAAAAAAAAGATTTTTAAGACCACTACTTTTGTTTCTATTGTTCCTTTATTCTGCTTAAGTTAAGGCACACAGTATTAGTGCTTTAATGTTACATGCTATTAGAAACAAGGTCATAATCATTACATACACTAAGAAAAAATCACATGTAGTTAATTACAGAAGATACATTCACTAAAGCTTTATAAAAACAACTAATATGAGTGATATTGATTCTAAAATATGCATACACTACAATATGATATACAGTTACAAAATACTGTCAGAAAATTAATAGTTAATCACAAACAACACCATGAAATCTGATAAAAATTCTCTGTATCTTTTGAACAACTTATTTAACTTTCACCAATACAAATGAATTAATAATATTTACTGTAATTTTTCAAAATTTCTTAAATGGCCATATCTCAATAAAACCATTTTGCAAAATAAAATTTAGTAACTATGCTGTATTACTTAATAGTAACATCTAATGATATGGATAAGTGAGAAATATGAGTATTCAAAATAATTTTATTTTAACAATTAAAAATCCAAGGAAACGAAAAAATCATATTAATAAGCAGATAATTAGAAAGCACAAGCAAATGGTAATCAAAAGTTTTGAAATCAGAGAGATAAGAAGAAAATATTTTAAGTTAAGCCTATTATTTAGAAAAGAACAATAAAACAAACATCCTTGTACAAGAAACTAATTAGTACAATGAAACTTTTCCTAGATGCATTATAATATCAAGAGGTGGTAATATATTACCAAAACAAAGTGGTTTAGCAACCTGATGTTTCAAAATAATTTTCTAAAGTGTACTTTAATTAAATCATTAATGCATGATATCTTCTCCCTAACAAACAAAGTATTATTAAAAGTGCCGTCACACATTTGCAGGATTGTTATTAGCAAGCTGAAGAATAAAAACTAGACAGCTAATGGCAAAGTCAGCAATCACCATACTGAAGCATGCAACTCCGTGCACTACGAGACAAGAGTACACTTACCCCATACAGCAACATGGGAATCTGTAGTGATCAATAACACAAGCTAGAAGTTAATCATTCTTACTCAAGAAAAGTTAATATACTTAAATATATATATCTACACATAAAATGTTTGTAAGGACACTCAACACTTTCTCTATGTGATTTTATAATGGAGTTATGAATTTTATTATTAATGCCTACTTCAGAAAAGCAGAAGTTTATATGCTAAATCTCATTTTGTCTACAATATCTTGAGATATGAATTCCATTCTTGTCTGCATGAATGAAAAATCTGAACAGTGTATCAGAAAGTTGTAACTGATGGTATTATAATACAAGAAGTTAATAATTATTGTTTTCTGTTAGTTTTACAATCTTCTTAAAGCTGTTTTCTAACAAATTAGATACAGAGTTGAGTACACTATATTAAAACAAATTAAATATGTAAATTAGCAAATAACATGAAACCATTGCTGACATTACAGTCACAGTGGAGCAGAATGCATTAGAGCTACATACAGACATCATATGATGAAGGGTATGTAACAGCCTGCAAAACATTCATACACCCATATAATAAATATTTGTTCAGATGAGGGATTTAGAATTTCCAAGAGGGGAATATTCCTCATATTTAATCACATTGGAAAACAAAGGAATGTGGATAAATATGGGGTCCTAGGACCATCTAAAAAGAAAGTTGAAAAAAGCACACTCAAGCTGTAATTAACAAAATGTGGCATTTTGCAACAAGTGAGAAACCATAAACACATAAGTTAGAGGCAAAAATGGCCCACATGTCCCAGGAAACAGTATACAGCATAACCAAGAAGGATCTCCACCTGGTAAAACAATACAAGTCATCTGTAAACAGATTTCTTTCATGACACATCAACTCAATCATCACACACCTCAAGCAGCTGGAGTATCGAATTGGTATCCATGCTATTTCATACAAAAACATACTGGTTGTTAGACACATTACCTATAGATTTCTGTATGGCTTTATGACAGTTGCATTTAGAAGTGAGAAACTGTTGCCCTCATATATAAGATGGCTTATAGAAAGCAGCAAGAAGATGGGATGTAACTTACACATGACAGCCTTACAACAGTACCTTTTGCAATGGAAACTACACTGCAAGGCTATTGTCAAGAAGTATGTCATCAGATAGAATATGAATGGTATAAGTGATAAAATTAAAGAAAATCATAGTAAATTGAAGAAATTTAAATTAACTGGTATGATGGGAAATTTAGAAGATTATAGAAGATAGAAAAAGTTGGTCAAACAGGAAATCAAATACGGATGTATGAAAAAAGTTTGGCTGAAAATGTAAAAGTAACAGTAAAGATTTCTTTAAAGCCTTACAACAGTACCTTTTGCAATGGAAACTACACTGCAAGGCTATTGTCAAGAAGTATGTCATCAGATAGAATATGAATGGACCTAGCAACAGCAACTGTAATGACATGGTAAGGCTTAAAAATAATTTTAATATAATGCATCCAACTCCTGTACTAATGAAGTGTGAAAAAAATATTAAGGTTGTTATATTGTAGTATATCAAAAGTTTAGCATTAATTCATAATTAAGTAATTCATAAAGAAGCACACTTTGAAAGTCTTGAGTGACCAGCATATACTAGGTTAATTTTCTAAAAAAAAAGAAACATTAAACATGGTACAAAGATATAGAGAGACAAAGCAGAAATTGTAATATAAACAAATAAATAGAATGGTTACTTGAATGATGTAGTGGTTATACAACTAAATCATATTTCTAGGACATACTGATATTTGTTTTGAATTTCGCACAAAACTACACGAGGGCTATCTGCTCTAGCCATCCCTAATTTAGCAGTGTAAGACTAGAGGGAAGGCAGCTAGTCATTACCACCCACCGCTAACTCTCGGGCTACTCTTTTACCAACGAATAGTGGGATTGACCATCACATTATAATGCCCCCACGGCAGAAAGGGC